AAAAATTACTTTGGCTATATTTTTCTTATGARAAAGAGGATTAGTTAATAAATAGCCTTTTCAAAATCATAAAAACAGTATAGGACTCTGTGACATTTAAGTAATGGGTCTTAAAAGAAAATTCTGAATTTTTTTAACTTCTGAAAGAGACAAATTTTATTCAGACATTCAATTGCCTAAAATCCATAAAGGCAAAAGACATAATTAAATTAAATGCTATGAAGTTTCAAAAGTCCACTATTAATAAGACACAGGACCTAGCTAAGAACTACTATTGATTACGTGAAGCCATATACATGAGATTTTTTAAATGTGAAAATGTTAGAGGAAAAACTATATTTTCACAACATTTTGCAATTTGCTATAATCTGAGAGAAAATATTAACTACTAGCTAATTGTATTCATCTCATCCCACTAATATGGCAYCAGTTAGAGTTGAAAAAACTCCCATCAAGGTACTGAATACCATAAAGGCAATACAGAAAAGAGAAACAGGCACAATTCACATGGATGTTTCTTTGGAAAATAGGAAAATGGTAATTGTATATGATAAATAAAATTTCTTATAGTATAGGGAGAAGGAAACAAGTTATTCTTTTTTAAAGAATAATATGACCATTTGCACAATAAAGTCAGGGGATATGGAATACATGTACCCTGGGTGGGGACTTTGGCAAGGGAAAGCTGAAACTGAAGCCAAGCAGATTCACGAAAGCACTAAACCAGTACWGCTGGTCACTACTGGAATTCCAGAACTTCTTTCATTCATTCCTGGTTTATTTTTTAAAGAAAACAAATGATTTAAATAAAACATTTAAAACCAATATCAATGGATAATAGTGTTAAATTTCAGGGGAAAAATAGAGTAATGAGATCCCTGAAAAACTCAAAAAAAAAAAAAAGCCTATTTGGTTTTACCAGACCATGGTCCCTAGCTCCAGGAATCTTGCTTAATAACCTCATTTCCTAGGGATGTGTTCTGCACAATTTGGTGGATTAAAAAGAAACCAAGCGCGCGTGCACACACACACACACACACACACACAAAATCCCTGCATTTTCCCATTGAAATTGTGCTATTTGAATCAAGAACTAGGAACATGTATAAATGCAGTCATTCTTTGTATGAAGGTAGACTTTAGAGTCATTTTCTTAATGCTACTTACTGTTATCTTCCTTTGGGGGATGAAGAATGTGCTGACCATTCACTAGCAGTGTATTATTATTGTCATTATGAATCCATTAGATATATTCAGGTGAGCTAAGTAACAGCCGTGTGAACAATTTCTTCTTCTCTTGCTTTTAGTATAGTATTTGATAGAATACAAACTGTTCCTTATTTACTTTTTGCCTTTGGTAAAAAGTCCAAGAAAATAGAAAAGTCCTTTTCTCTGCCCTTGGTTATCAATAGAAGTGCTGGGTGTGGCAATGAGTTTTAAGAATCTTCATTTGTGTCATTTATTAGAATAACCAGTAAAAAAACACAGCTCTACCTGTTAAATAGAGTAGTGGTACTTAATGAATCTGTAATATCCCCACTAAATATGCAGTTAGGGGAGGTATGAAGGAGTCTAATGCTTAATAAAAGTAAGCAGTTTCTAGTGGAAGCTTTTCTATAAAAGGTATACAACACACACCTCAACACAAAGAGATACAAACACTAGTTTGCAAAAGAGACATGTAGTACAGTGGCAGGATCTTATTTGAGTTTGAAAGTTATCCTTGAAACACTTTACCATAAAGAGGACCTGACTAATTTTCACCCACCTTTCATTACCCAATGGCTTTCTTGGGCCATAGGAGCCTGTTTAGTATACCCAGYACAGGTTACTGCAAAAAGCTAAGTGTCCTTCCCGTCCAGCAGGCCTCAACCAGTGATGGAGAGAAGCTGTTACAARGGCTTCAGGTCCCTCAGTCCCTGAGTAGGGTTCCTCTAATGTGTGTGTTTTGCACTTGCTGCCAGCATCTCTCCAGTACGAAGAAGTTCCACTTGCTCACCATGGCAGCTACCATTACTGGATTCCCYTTCTTATTTCCATACTCTCCCATTGAAGAATCCTTCATCTCCAAAATAAATCACTGTTATTCAAAACTTGGTTTCACAARCAGCCAAACTGTTCATGAACAGAAGAACCCAAACTAAAACATAATGTCAAACATATTATATTTAACTTAGTAACTGATGAACATTCATCATTTCAACCAAATCCTTATGTTCAAATTAGATATAATTTTGCTTATACGAATTTTTTATTATGGTTCAATGTGTTACATACTTCAATGATCTACCCACACAACAGAGCTAAAACTGTAAGTATGAAATGTAGCCATATGTTTGCATGAAAATCACACCAACCAAATTAACATACTAAATTCACCAGCAGTATTTTCCAGTTAAACTGTCTTAAGCATTATGATGCTATCCTTCGGATGCTTCAAAAGAAGTAACCAAAATAGTAAGAAAGTGTTTCTGTCTGACAATTATGGAAATGCTGCCAATAGCTGTCCATCAATCTTTTAATTTTCTAGCATCTATCCCAAAATGGGAAAGACATGGTCAAAATATTTTACTTATTTTTTAAACTTTTAAAAAAAGAACAGACATTTTAAAGTCTGTTGGATATAAATCCACCAACCATCTAGGAAAATGAGTCCTTTCATGACTCAATCAGAAAATCAGGTTCATCGAAAATTCAGCAGAAATCTAAGACTTCAAGCTGCCATCCCCACTCCTGTTTCCATGGGAATAGGCTTCAGATCAAGAAGGAAAAAAAAATAGATGGGGTTAGGAGCTTTCAAATAATCATTCAAAATCATGATGAGGTTTTTAAAGCTTCTTTTTCAGGTGATTATTTTGTAGCCTCTTAACCCCCTTTTGCCAGTCTGTTTCCATGGAAATATGACAAAAATGGCTGTCCAAGCCTCCAGCAGAGATATTAGCATTCTTGTGAATTTCAGCTTTGGCTGCAGCCTAGGCTGGGCAAGATTTTTTTTTTCTATCACTTTGATATATTAACCTACACTGGTTTTACTTACTGTAATTTCTCCTTATAATTTCTACTTTCTTTGAAAACTCCCTTCACAAATTTCTAGCTATGATCAAGATCAAATTGAATAAGTGGTACATCACTGAAAAAGGCTTCAGTTTTAACTTTTATACATAAGCCAAGACATATAGCTGCAGGATATTCCAGAACCTTTAGAGACCCACAGAAGAAAACATKATTTAGTTACTAGACCTGATATTTATTAGATAGCTTTGGGAGATATGCAACAAGGCTAATATTTAAGTTAGTTAGCCAGTAGTAAGGCACATTATTAACTGTTCAGAACACCTGATTCATACAAGCTGAGTATTGTTGYTACTATGTATTAACCAATAATAAATTAAGCTAAAATTAGCCTTATATAAGGTAGTCAGCATTATACTCAAATACATTGTTCAAGGTCACAGACTGAGATCCTGTAAAACTTTTCAGAAAAGCTTTCAAGAGAAACTGGGTAGGAATATATAGCAATCCATCTATTAAAAAAATCAAAGCGCATATGCTCGCATCATTTTTCACATAAAGGTCATCTGAAAATCAAAATCATTCTTATTAATGAAGACATTATGTTAAAAGATACAGAAAGAACATATATGGATCTTTGCTAGAACCCCTGGCAAGATATCTTGTGTTGAATATGAAAAATAGCAGCATGCTACATATGTAATTTTATTCCATCCTACTCTCTGAAATTTGCTGAGCAGTTCAGTCTACAATTTTTGCTAGAGAAAATCTTAAAGTTCTGATTGACCTCATATAATACTTCCATTCTTGAGCACTGTTATTCTATAGCACAGCTTTAACTATARAGTCCTACCTTCTGAATTTGAGTTGAAAAAATAAAATTTAAAGTGATAATCATTAGATTCAGACAGATTCCTAATTTAAATTTAGCAGAGATTAACATACTGTGGAAACTAGTCCTGTTTTTTTATAACTAAATAGATCATTGCTATAATAAAGTAAGGCAATCAGTCAACTAATTTTTCAAATCATCCTCACTAGTTTTAGAATGCAGTCTGTCATCATAGTTAAGCACACAGTCCTAAAAAACAGGATTGACTCCCAAAACAAATCTGGCCCACACTTGTTTGTATAAATGAAGTTTAACTGACACATCCATTTATATTTTATATTATTCTGTTTTGTCTTAATTACCTATGACTACTTTCTTGCCAAAAAGGGCAGAGTAGGTACCACACTGCAGATATGGGATATAAATCCTGTTGATTCTCTGGCTTACTGAGAAAATATTTGCTCATCCCTGCTCAACCCTGGCTACCTGAACCCAATGCCTAGATGAGCCATCTCCTAACTTTGAGATCTTGGGTTGACTTTGGGTTTACCTGGACTGTTGAGCTGTCAGGATTAGATGAACTTTTTTTTAGGTAAATTATTTATAACATAGTGTAGCATTTACTAAACACTTCATTAATATTAATTACTTCTGAGAACAGTGTTTGGCATTTTGTAAGCACTTTGTACATATTAGTGATACACCTTTGCCACTACCACATAGTCCTAAGAGTGTTCAGTGAAACTAATTTTAAGAAATATGTTTATGATGCCCAAATTTTGAATAAAAGTGGTGATTTACAGTCATTGAATATGTTTTMTTTTCAAATTATGTATTTTTTCCTTTAAAAGATATTTGCATACTTAATATTATAATATGAAAATGTTACATGTCTGATTCACAGAAGACAATTCACCTTGGGTATTGTAAGTAACTTCAGATTCCAAAGCAGTTTCTGTTGCACTATGTAGGCAGATGGTTGCAAACCAGAAGTTATCAAAAATTATATAATGATATAAAATGGTCTTGAAAWTKTTTTAATTATAAAATTATATCAGTTTCTGAAAAGAAAGTTTAGAAGTTGTGGGGATTTTATTGTTTTAACAGTCTATTTGATAAAGGAGAAAACTGTGATTGACTGGGTGCCTATACTTACATCCATGAACTCCACATTGGCTTTGGGACCAGTCGTCTCATTGAGAATCTTAATAGCCACAGGAATCTTCACTGTTTCTCCTTCAGGTACCCAAATGCCCTTTCAAGAAAAATAATATTTACATTAAATCCATCGTAAGATATGTATACTAAATATAGCAGAAATAAAATTTAATTTAATCKCTCAATCTACTAACTCTTAAGCATAATTATAGATTCTATATTTTTCATTCAATGAACATTTATTTAGCACCTGTTATAACAAGATACTCTGCATCTTTTTTATCTGCTTTCATTTTTTGAAGATGGATAAAACATGCAYTCTATGTCAAGTTGTCTATACTACTATCAAATTCAACTTGTGGGCATGAGAAAAAGCTTTGAATAGTGAAGAAAACTTTGAAGCAGTATAGAAGAGCAATATCTGATTTGGAAAATATTTTCAGTCTTCTATTTTTTAATATATTCTCAACTCTAATTTAGAAGATTAGGCTAAGAAATGTTGAAGGTTCTTTTCAGCTTTAATGCTATCTATTCTGCAACTATTCTGAACTTTTTCAAGTTCATAATGAATTTTAAAAGGTGATTACTTTAGAATTAGTGTTCAGACACAAGTGCTAGGAATTACTGGACAAATATTAATTTTTATTATCATACCCCATGTGTATATGAAGGACTGTTATTATCTTTGAGGTAAATATAAAATATTTAAATTGGCCATTGCTAATTCTCTCTTTTCTTATTAACATGTAATTGTAACATTTGAACAGAATCTATACATTGGGAAAATATAAAGTTGATAGAGTTTGAGTAAAGAACACCATCAAGCTAAATAGCATTTCTACATGAATTTAATTCAAACACTTARATGAYGACAATTATTTTGATAGGACATATGAGAATGCTTGGATTATATAACAATATTTTCTTAAAAAAATATTTTCCCAAATGAACACAGAAGCAAATACGAGGTTATGAGAGAAAAATAAAAATTCCCAAATTATAATTCTGTACCCTTAACATAAAAAATATTATGCAATTTTAACATTAAAATGAAAGAATAAAAAATATTCATTACTCCTGAATAGAATATCTACATTTCCTCTCTTTCTTGATATCAGCTGCTTATATTCACATCACTTTGAACATCCATGCTAAAACATACATAAAATTGTACTATTCAAAGTTTAATAATATGAGGAGACCTAAACACAGAATTGTTAAAAAAATAACAATAATAGAAGCAAAAAAAAATCCAAAAAACTACTTTGACCTTTAAAAGGTAAATTTAGAATTATGGTTTTCCTAGTCAGAACCAATAGGGAAATTTAAATATCAAATGCAAAATAATAGGCTAAGCTCCTTATGGTATAAAATTAGAAAAAAACAAATTAAATCAGAAATGGAAAAAAGTAAGTAAAAGCCCAGGACCTGCGAACCTATATTTTCACACTGATGGTGTCTAGGGTAGAGAACATAATTATCATTATTCTATAAAATGACCACAGAATGTGGTACTTTATTAAGACACAGCATCAATATCAAAGTATTCATAAATAATACTTTTAAAATAAGAATATAAATTCAGTGTGAATTAATTTTATTGCTTTGGAAATAAGTATGGTTATTATTTTTCTAAGGCTGTCCAGATAAAAATGTGTAGTATTTTTCCCTGCTGAGGTCATCCATAGTATTTAGTCCTAAAGTATCATATCTCCATGGTTTAAAATAAATTTTAATTCCTGAACTATATAATAAGAAAGAGTGTGATTATACTTTAGAATAATCCAATAAGTAATTTTAAAAAGGGAAGTGTCTTTTAATACATTTAAAGTTAGCATTTATCTCTTGTCTATCTTCTCTATATACAAACAAATCTGCTAATTCACATTAAATTTTGTCAGTGTAAATGCAGAATTGTTAAAACACCAATACTTAAGAGAAGAAAGCTCTAATATATTTCTATTGACTTATCCTATGGCTAAGCACAGACCCTTCAGTCATATCTGTGGATATAGAGAATTGAAGCAATTACCAGATAATTCTTATGGGAGAATCCTGCAATAGATGATTAGAATGGGGATTTATGGTAGCTAAGTGATCCAGAATGACTGTCAGTATTAATCCAATTCACTGTATTACTTTTAACTTGCCAATTTCTAAATTCATGACTGGAATTTATAATTATACGTATATTAATCCAAAAAATTTGCTTGATGCTATTTAACATAGATACAAAGATCAGAAATATTAAACTTGAATCTAAGGTATGAAATATGATATGTCAAGAGCTTTGTAATGTTTTGAACAACCAATTTAAAAAAACCTGAAAAAAAACTATTAGCTCTAAAAAAAAATTTAAAAAAAATAAAATTGATACATTATGTAGATTAAAATTTTAACTGTATGCAATAATAAGTCCAAGTCCATCTTTTCTATCACAATATAAATAAATATGATGTTATTTTTCAGACGAGATCGGCGCGTTCAGTGTGGTATGGCCGTAGACAATGATGTTATTTTTCTTTGAACATACAAAGAATTTGAAGATTAGAAAGGCATCACATCATCTAAAATAGTGCCTATGCAAATTAAGTGCCCAGTTAATAAATTCAAGTTTAATTGAACAAATTATACACACTAACAGATTATGAAAACTTCTGCATCTTGGCCTTATAATAGAGTTATAATTCTAGAAAGATGAGATTATTTTGGAACACTCAGCAGAGAAGAATAAGGTCTATATTCTAACTTGTAATATTTTCTGTTAAATAAATCATGGTCTTACTAGGCAAAAAAAGAACTATTTTAAAATGTAAAACTCCTAAAATCAAATCTAATTTAGTTAATATGTTTGTAAGTATGTAGGCTTGCATATAGCTTTAAGAAAAATATTAAACTGTAGATGTAAATTTTGTAAATTGTAATAATGAATTACAAGAAGAATTCAGCACTATCCTAGCAGAGTTTCTTATTCTTGTTATTTACCATTAAACAAATTTCACTACAATTAACCTCTGGCCTGGCCTCTGAATTGGTCTTATAATTAAGCTAAATAAGTAAACATACAAATGCTATCATTTGAGCTTTTCCTTTCCAGAAATCCCTCTCATTGAAAAACCATGTTGTCATCCATTTCCTCCTAGCTGACCTGAATTTCTCCTATAAAGTCAACTTTAGTTTGCACAGAATGTCAGCATCAAGGCTATAAACATTAACCACTGAGTCATATATGTAAACAGGTAAGCAAAATATGGTTTAGGATCTAGACCTTTCCTATTTATATATAAGCACATCCATATGAATTCCAAAGAGATCAATCAGGTAAATCCTGGAAAAGGATTCTTTCAGTTAAGAATGAGAGAAGAGCAAGGGATTATGGTTCATTGCCTGGGCATGTCTGGGATTTCATGGAGCACTGTGTAGGAGGAAAGGGAAATGCATTGGGGCTGGGTATTTTGGATACAAAAGGGAATTCAAAGGCAGGGTGATATTGAAATGGGATCACTATGGTTGCTCATGCCTTTAATCCCAGGAACTCAGGGAGGTTAGGCAGGAGGATTCCAAATTGGAGGCCAGGGTCAACAATTTAAAAAAGCCCTAAGCAACCTAAGGAGACCCTGTCTCAAAAAATAAAAATGACTGGGGGTGTAGTTTTGTGCTACCCCTACCCCTCTACCCCTGGGTTAAATCCCCAGTACCAAAAAAAAAGAAGATAAAAGGAAGAAAAAAAAAAGGATCAGAAAGGCCTCTAGAGCAAGAACTCTATTTGCCTATCTCTCAAGACTCTATTTATCCCAGCTTGTTCAATAAAAATTAATGAATTCATTTGTGCAGCAACTTCTCAATACCATAAAGGTCCTCCTCTCTGAATATTAAAAGGAAATTAGGTTGGCTAAAGTAATTACTTTAGCTATTATTTTTTTAAAAGGCTGAAACAAAACTTAAATAACTGATAGTAAGCGTTGTTTTGTACTTACTTTATAAACGGTTCCAAAAGCACCTGAGCCAAGGACTTTTACTCTTTTGAGTTCAGTTTCTTTCAAAATACGAAGCTGAGCTTGGTTGGGTGCTGTACCACTGGGAGTCAGGGGTTCCACCAGCTGCAGAGTAAATTGATAAAATTATATAACTTTCAACTCAGTAAATCAGTCCTGTTCTCAATCCCTCTCCTGCCATTTTCTCTCYCATATAAAAATTCAAACAAACTTTATACAGCAAACAAAACTTTTATGATATGAACCACTTACCACCACAGACACACATTTAGACACTCCTTTAGACCCTATCCTTTCTCTTCTGCTCTTCACCTAGGTGAATTYAAGAAACAAATGTGTTCTACCTTGAAACATGGTAGACTAGGAGACAAGGTGCATAAAAAATAGAAATGCTGTCTTTTTAGAGCTCAACATCTATCTGGGCAACTAGGACAAACATGTCAGAAGAGGGAAAAGCACACATGCTGATTCCCTATGACAGAGCTTCTAAAACTGCAGTGAGTGCATTAATCACTCAAGGTTCTTGTTGAAATGAAGATCCTTGTTCAGAAAGTCTGGATTAGGCCTGAAAATTTGCGTTTTTACAGAACTCCAGGTGGTAACTATGTAAGAGGAYGGTCTCTAAACACATTATAAGTAGCAAGGCCCTACTGTACCTTCTCCATTAAAAACATAAATAAAAATTTAAAAATTGATGATTTGRTTCAAGATCATAAGTGAATACTATGGAATGCAAAGGAATAAAATCACCTTTRGGGACTGAGGCTCATCAGTCTGGCTTCCTAAAGGAGATATGYTTTAAGACCATCTTGTGATAAAGAAAATGGATTGGCATCGGGAGGGTACAATCATGGTGGGGAAGAGTTTGGGCATAGCATTAGGAGAAGGAGGAAGACACGGAGGAACCCATGAGGAAATGAGACAGGTCTGAGGATGAGATTAGAGTGGGAGATGCCAGGTCATAAAGTGGGCTGGTTGGGTATAGCCAAAATGTAAAATCAGGCTGAYAGTTTTAGATGACACAGTTGAGAAGTGATCCAGCAAGAGAGGATGGATGAACAAGGGAAAGCTATGTGAATGGCTGCTGATCACTTGCACGTGTGAGAGAAAAACTCTCCACAGTTGTCACGTGTTATGCACAGTTTCACTGTTGGAACTTTCATTTACCAGTGGTCAACTGAATTTGGAAAATGTTAAATGGAAAATTCCCAAAATAAACAATTCATAGTCTTAAAGAACTTTTATTAAAGTATGTTCTTATAATTGTTCCACTTTATTATTAGTAACCATTATTAATCATTCACTGTGCCTGATTTATTATAAATTGAAGTTCATCAGAGTTATGCATATATAGGATAAAACACAGTATAGGGAGAGAGGGAAGAGTTAGTAAAGTCCATGGTTTCCGAATACAGGCATCCCAAGGTCAGGGGGAGCTTGGAAAGTATAATGCATGGATAAGGTGGGACAAGTACTGCACATAAGGGAGAAGCTGGGTACCAAAAGGCTTATATCCTTTGCTTTGTTAAAATATTTGGTTTAATTCATGCTTGAGGCAAAAAACAAGTGAGAAAAGTAGGACTTTTTTTTTTTCATTCTTAAGTTAAGGATCTAAACTTTAAACAAAGACAAATAGCCTGTTTTTTCTCTGCATAAGGAAATAATTAAGGGCTACTCCTACTCAAATTGTCTTGAAACAACCACAGTATTTCAAAATRTCTGTTTACAAGACTAAGTGCACTGTGGCCCTCCAGCATGGGTATTATTATCATGCTTCTGTGAACATGATAGCCTACTTAATTAGTGGAACAATAGTGTCCTGAATGTAGGTAAATGTAGCAGTAGCAAGAATTTTAGAACRAACGCACAAAAAATTATCAATAAATTTAGGTTTTTTTCTAATAGGATGATAACTAATCTGGTTATAATTACATTCAAGTTGCATTTAAAAAGACTTGGGAAAAAAATCACTAAATTTGTTCAATGTGAAAAAAAATCTCCAGCAGAGATTTCCCTTCACTTGAAAACAACTGCATTAGAGGGAGTTGTTTGATAGATGTGGATACACACCATGTGTATGATGAGTCACTTTACTGAATCACTTTTAAATATTACATACAAAAGTGATATGAAATCATGAAAAATTGGGAAGGGAGTTTCAGCATTTTGAACTAGCTAAAATATATATTAGATATATATGTCTTGACATATAACATGCAATAATTTCTTATTTTGAAAAATGCGGAGTTCTACCTGAGATAGTCTATATATTTTATTTATAATTGCTAAGTTACAAATGTATCGTCACTTAAAATTTTATGCAAATTTATTTTTCTAGAAATTTGAATATTATTTCTTTAAAAGGAGCATATTTTCATTTTATGAGCCAGCAGTGATATGGTAGAGAGAGCACTGAGTTTAAATTTAGAGGACTGTACATCAGTGCCACTACTCACAGACTTAAATTTTATTCCTCTTGGCCCCTCATTTCCCACCTGTTAAATAGGTATAGCAATAATCAAGTGAGAGGGCTGTCAATGGATGAAATGGGACAGTACTGTGGAATATTCTGGAACATTTTCTGACATATTATAGGCACTGAATCTATCATTCTTCAAGGGATAGGATCATGTCTCATTAATACATTTTTTAATCAAATCACCTACCAAACATCAAGCTTATAATATATCTAAAAAACTGTGCTTTGAAAAAATATCTTTTTAACTTTTATGCAWATAATAGAAGAAAAAATCTAGAGAAAAATGATCTGGGAAAGCATATCAATTTTAAGTGTATTCCAACAATATATTATCCTTTCAAAACCTTTCCATTTTGTTGGAAAGTTCTAGCTTTGGCATTTAAGGATTCAAATTAATCCTCTTAAAAATTCCTCTTCTTTTTAGATAGTGGTCAAAAATCACAATAACTTATTTTACTGAGAGAAACATGGGAAATTCTACAATTACTTAATCAGCAAATGTAAAATAATTTGGTTCTAAACAATGATTTTTTTTTTTTTTTTTTTTGTGGTTCTGGAGATCGAACCCAGGGCCTTGTGCATGTAAGGCAAGTACTCTCCAACTGAGCTATACCCCCAGCCCCAAAACAATAAATTTCTTTACAAAATAAAATCCATTATAAAACCAATACACATGTGTTGATTTAGCAAGGAGATGACAACTTGAAGGACATTCTTAGCACTAGCACTGCATTAAAAAAAATAAAGCAATACAACTTTGGCATAATATTGAAAACTTCTTATACATGGTTAAGAGACTTTCTCTTCTATTTATTTGACATCTAAATATCCACTTCTGTTAGAAGTCTTAAGTTCCTTTCCAACTCTGTCTTACTTTACTTTTCAGAATTCTCTTACCAATTGCCCCAAGCTGCCCATGAGGGGGACTTYTACCTGCCTATAGTCTCTAGTTAACTTGAACACGTATAACATATGTGTTGTTTCCTACCTTTCATTCACAAATACATGGTTGAAAGTAATCAAGTGATCTGTAAATATCCAGTTAATGTACACATTACTACTATGTCTTCTCATGTACATACTTGACTATCTTTATCTTGCTTAAATAAGTGCATTGAGGAGAAAGCTTACTCCAGTTTAGAAAACTCCAATCCTTAGAAAGTGTTATCTTGAACGTAGCTATAAAGTAGTTTCTTGAATCTTTCATATTATTCTCCTATCTAGTTTCAACTTCTGAAGGAAAAGAGCTAAGACTGAAATCATTAGCAGCATGCAAAAGGTATATAAGAATGAATATTCCCAGCCAGGTGCAGTGGTGCACGCCTGTAATCCCAGCAGCTCAGGAGGCTGAGGCAGGAGGATTGTGATTTCAAAGCCAGCCTCAGCAATAGCGAGGTGTTAAGCAACTCAGTGAGATCCTKTCTCGAAATAAAAAACAAAATAGGCTGGGGATGTGGCTTAGTGGTTGAGTGTCCCTGAGTTCAATCCCTGGTATCTCCCCGGTACCCCCCCTCCCCCCCCAAAAAAGAAATGTATATTCTCATGTTAAGAGAATATACATGAGAATGTATATTCTCATGTTATTCCTATGTTAAGAGGAAAAGCCAGATTGCCACATTGACAATAAGAAAGAAAACAAATCTAGGGTAGCCTGTTTCCAAACAAAATTGCTTCAAATTGTTTAGGCAGGCACTGCTATGGGGATCTGGAGAAAGACATCGGTGGAGCTGAGAATGGTCTGGTATTTCCCCTGCCCCACTACCCTGTACAGTGAAGGTCTGCATGCTAGAAAATTCAGTATGGCAATGTGAAGGAAATTATCATAATTTATGGGTAGTTTTCATATTCACAGTAACCATCAGGCATAATATTAAATGCATATCATAAATTGTTTTGTAAGTTCTGYGATTATATCACTAAGCTTTACCCTGTTACGTCCGTCTTTCATCGCTGGTATAATGAGATCTTTGGTTACCAATTTAAGGTGCTAATTATAGGACACTGTATAGAAAAACTATACGCTTTCAAATGTATTCCTAGTTCTGCCATTAATAGACACTTTCTGTCTCCTCTGTTGAGATATCTTCTACCCATATCTTGCTAATGGCAACCACTACCCCCAAAACCTGATCTGTCTTTCCCCAGTGTCATACATCCTGGATCGCTGACATCTAAGCTTTTCAAGTCATGAATCTACCTTAATTACTGCTACTACTTACTATGATTCTTGTTCAGCTTTGTGTATAAAAAAAAAAAGTCATCAGGAAACTGAACAGAACATTTGCTTGCATTTAAAAAACTGAGTAACATCCAAATCTCTAAAATGCTATTGCAAATCTCCAAACATATGAAGAGAAATAATGAACACTCCACCTCTGTTTCCAGGAATCTTCTCAAGGCTCTTTTCTTTTTGATGCTCTTCCTTCTAACATAAACTGCAAAGGTCAGACCTACGATGACCAGGATGAAGAGACCTCCAATGACTCCAGCAGCAATTAGGGGAGTTCTGCCAACCAGAATGAAAAAAAAAAATACACATGAAGAAAGAAAAAAAAAAAAACAGAAGAGGAAAGATCTGTCGTGCAAGACATTATCCACATTGCATAAATTTGGTCAATTAGAGGAAACGCAAAGAAAAAGAAATAAAAATGCACTAATGCTTAAAAAAAATATTTTCTCAAGGCAAAACAGTATTTTTGTTTTGTTTTGCTTATAAGTAACAAACCATGCACATACAACTAATCTTTGGGGATAAGCAGCCACAAAATACCATTTCATGAAAAAATGTAAAATTTGGTAACAAGGTAGGAGATATGCTAAGATGTTAGTATGGGAACATTTTAAACTATTTTAGTTTCACTATTATCCACAAATAAATGGAAAATACATTTTCATATTATCATTGTGGTATATAATTTTATTTTCAGCATTTTCTATAAAGCAAGCTGTCAACAGTGGCAYTACTGACTTTTTGGGCTAAATAATAGCTTGCTGTGGGCACTATTCTGTRCATTTTAGGAGGTTTCGTCCCAGGTCTCTGTCTACTAGATGCTATAACACCCATCCTCCAGTGACAATAATGTCTCTTGACATTGTCAAATATCTGCCAAATCAATCCTAATAGAGAACTGCTTCTCCAAAGCAAAAACGAGTAGTGCAGAGGCATGTGAATCCCCATAACTCTGAAGTAAGAGGGTACTGATATGACCAGTTGTTATTACTGAAASTGTAATTTGAAACTTTAATAAGGACAACTCAGAATAATGGGTAGGAGAAACCAAAAAGGGTMACACATTTTCAGTGTGATGATGACTGGAGTATGTAGCATATGTAGTATAAGCAAATGTTTCCAAGCATCCTATGTTCACAAAAGAGATCTGCACATTAAATATCACAAAAATATAAACAATTACCAAGGAGGCATTMACATAAGACTAGAAATTTTTGTTCTTAAAATGTTTTTCTAATGTGTTTTTAGCAAAGATACAATTTTGAAGCTGAACACTTCTTACTGTTCTCTAAGGTAAATTATTTCCTTGTTTGAAGAGTAATATTCATGTTTTTTTAACATCTTGTTCTAGAATAAAGCAGTCTTGAAATATATTAATTTCCTATACCATGGCAAAACACATAGAGGTTACCTAAAAATATTTGACTAGGAAACCTTTATAGATATCAAAACAAAAAATAATTCCCTGTATGTTTATAGTTTCTAAAGTGTTTTATAGCATATATTCCTATTTTAGAAGAACCTATTCTACATAGTTTCATTCTCTTAGAAAAAAATTACTTACACATGCAAAATAAACTTTGGTTCAAAAATGGATCAGAAACAATGATAGTAGATGATCCTAAATAAAACATTGGAATTCTAAAGAAATCTTGAGACAAAAATCTGTGTAACTACTTCTATAAATGAAGTCATGTCTTCTAAAGATTATGGCTGTTATATTGTCAAATAAAACTGCTGAAAATCTAAAAATGTAGTTCATCCTAACAGTTGTTTCTTGACAACTCAAAGTACTAAAGCATACTGAAATGTTGCTATAATTCAACTAGATTTTCCTAAATCAGATTTTCTAAAGTTATAAACATCTATGCTGGGAAAATTAAACTGTAGTATAGACACAAACTCATCCTTGTGAAATATTTTTTGTATATAACACTGAATTTTTGGACATGCCACATAAATATGTTCTTCAGAAAATATTTCAGATTTTTGACCAAAGGCATAATTTTAAGCACAAGTGCCTAATGTATTCTTGAAAAGATATTATTGCATAAAGAGCTGTAATTTTTTTTGTTCTTTAACCCCCTTTYTGGCAAAGAATTTATGAATAATCAAGAATAGTGTCCAATATTTTCTTAACTGTGGATTTAGATCAAACTCTAAAATCTCTGCTTATCTATTTTGTAAAGGAATATTTATATGTATTTATGAGAATAAATGTGTGTATATACATATATGTGTATATATATATATATATATATATATACACATACATATATATGTCAGTGTCAATGTCACAGTAAATCTTTAAACATGCTCTATTATGATTCTTTGTTTGCTGAGTGTTTTTTAAGGATAACTTCCAACAGAACAAAACAAGTAATTTCTGTTTTTCTAGTTAATATTTACTTTCAATACTTTCTCACAGTAGTTTCTTTCTTTGATTTATATTCCTTTACTGTTTTCTCTCACCACTCTGTGAAAATGGTAGAGCTACAAACAACCTGAAGAAATGAAGAATTTCACTTCTGTACCTAAAGATCAAACATGAATATCTAGTTGAACATTCTCAGAGGCCAACTTCTTCATATTCTCACATAATTTTTTTTCCTTGGAAAAAATAGTTAACCACAAAGAAGCAGGCAGTAAGATCAAGRAGGAGGATATTCATTCAGTAGGGCAAGTTCTCTACTTCTCTAGTAAGAGATTGTGATAAGAAAAGGGACTGATCCAGATTAAGATTTGACAGACATAACAAGTGGACATGAAGCCCATTCTGGATTGGGATGGTTTGGACAAAGCAGCTATAGAGTAGGATAACTTGAGAAGTCYGAATATGCATAATTAAACAGATGGGGTGAATATTTGTTGCCATAGGAAGACATAAACTATAAACTGAGAAGATGGGTTATAGAATAGTTGGATCTTAATATGGAAAAATTATRCATATATCTGTATTTGTGCTTATAGATATGGATCTAGGTTAATATCAAATAAAACACTAAGTAGTAGTTGTGGATAGTGTAAATATGATGCACATATTTTGTGTATTTATGTAGTGTATTTATTAATTTTCYATAATTAATATTTCTTTGGGAATAAAAGTTCACTCAATTTGAGAAAAATCCAGGAAAATGTAAATCATGATCTAAMAGTTTAGTCTTGTAACAAGGGCATTTTATTTACAGTTTTCTCAAATATTTACTTGAATTTTTTTTTCAGTTAAGATTTCCTTTTGCTCTTCCCTGTCCACTTTTACCATAAGCATCCATCTGCATATATTTTCTATGCATTATAGCTTAATGTACCCAATAAATTTAATTACCATTATGCTTCTTACAATTAATATTACGTTCCYTAAGCCAAGCTAATCTGAAAAAGTTGATCCTATTTAAACATTTTTTATTCCCATCAATTTTGAGAATTCATCGATATTTACAGATGTTGAGTAGAGGCCTACTTTTCTTTCTCCTCTTTTACTCCACGTGCAAATGTTTAACTCTTCATGAGGACCTAAGATAAAGAGCTACCCTAAGATAAAGAGTCTTTCAATAGCTGTACATCTGTCCTATTAGCCTATTGCTATTCCTGAGAGTTTTTCTCCTGTATGTGAGTCATAAGAACCTCCAAGTATCTCAGATACTAGTGAGATCAGAGGAGTTAAATAATAAGGGACCTGGATTTACTATAATCATTTATATAGAAGAATTAGTGTTTGGTTGTTGGTTTGTCTTTGGCTGTCCATTAAAAATGGTTGGYGCCCCCTACAGTATAAAAGATAGGATAATTAGTGTCAAGTTTAAGCTTAGACTAAAGAGATGTTATCAATCAGTGATTTACTTTATTCTGTGATTTGGAAAGAGTAAAATRAGACCAATATCATCCCACCATTTAAGGAACTAATATCACAAGGATTGTGAATCATAAATGAACTTTTCTAATCTATTTAAGACATGTAATTTAATTTCAGAAACAAAATAATGTATAATATTCTATTTCCTTGAATGCTATTACCTTATAAAAAGCAGTATCTTCAAACTATATGATTCACTTAAAGGACACATTGTCATCATTCCTTACTGTACTTGAACTATGTTGTTCATGTCAGTGAGGAATATAAGATGTGAGAAGATACAATGATAAGTCATTTTAATAAAAATCCAAATTTGTTCCTTCATTGAACTTTTTCCTTCCAGAKATCAGACCACAAAATAGTATGCTGAAGTCAATATTATTTATGATTAAAACTCAAAGCATTCTTCAAAAATATTTTGCTATACCCTTCCAAATGTATGTTAGTAGATGGCTATCCTTTTAAAATGAACAGCATTGCTGTTAGTTTTAATTTGTAAAACAAGTATTTTCACTAATAGTCATTGCCAATAATGCTAAATTTATGAGATTTTTTAAAAAATGGTAATGCAAATCCATCACCAAATAATTGGCTAATTACATTCATGGTTTTTTCTTCATTTTTGAATACAGAATAGTCTTCAATTTAAGATAAAGGAAATAGTTTGTRGTCCTATAGTACACTGTTGGTATATAATTTGCAACTAATGGTATTGATTTTAAATGAGAAATTTCCACTTTACAAAGCTCATATGTTACTAAATAACTTGAACACTGGTCTTCAGAATTCTTTGAATTCTGTTTCAGTTAAACCTTTTCTGCCTATAAATAAGTAGTGAGTCAGACTTAGAGCTGCATCACTATTTGTTTATAGGCAGTAAAGGTTTAACTGAAAATGGGTGTATGTGTGTGTATATATCTTTTATTGTATGTAGGAGATAAAGGCAAACAAAAACAAYGGGCTAGTCCGATACATTCAGAATAGGATTATTTTAAACATAAATTTTCATACCATAAACTTTGCAGGTCTCAAAAAAAGGTTAAAATATTGTAACATTTTTCTTTAGTGTTAATTTCATACTCTGTATRATTTTTCCTTATAGTGATTGCAGCAGAAAGACACTTTGGATTCAGRGTATTCTAAATTTCCATCATTAGAATTTACCATCATTATTTGTGTTTCTTGCTTATSATCTAATTCAGCTTAAATACAAACCCATTCATTCTTCACCAAAACTAATGCAAAGAAAACACAGTAGGGGACTAGTCTTTCATATACATGTGAGATCTGCTGAATTTAGAGCATGTTTAGTACTATTATTAARTCAAATATTTTTAAGCTTAAATGAGTTGTATGTCCTATTTTGGCGAGGACAACCTTAGTTTATGCACTCAAAGCATTGAGGTTACATCTTTCACTCTCA